TTGAAGCCCAAAAACGAGGCCGAAACCCATAAAATCCATAAGGTTCTACCACCCCCAAAGGAGGCACTAAGCAACTTCAGTGCTAGCTATTCTTCTTAAAAACGATATTACTTCTAACGGTAACAAAAGTTATATTGAAAAAAGAAACATCAGTACGAATCGCTAAAAGATTGTGCCAACACCATCAGAAACCACTCCCTACCATTGGAGCCATAAATAGGGCAGCATCTGCGACTCGAGAAGTAATTATGACATTTGGATGGTACTTTTCCAGACACTTGACGATAGGAGCTGCTCCCAGATATGTGCTAATTCCTTTCATTGATTAAACCAACGATCAGCTCCACCTTTAGAAGTAAGACGCCGTTAAGGAACAAAAAAGAGGAAAAGAAAAGTGTCTTGTGGCTGCCATATACAATTTGTGAAGTCATGTTATACAACATTGACTGGAAAAAAGAAAAAAACTTAATTTTGCTGCTAATATGCTGGAGGGGAATTTCATTATTTGGAACTGACAATAAAGCTAAAGAAAAATGCACTTCAGTTGAGGATAATAGTGTTCTATCATGACCTGAGGTGCTCAAAATTTGGCATGTAAGTTGTTTAACTTACTTGTATACTTGGCCAACATTTGGGATGACAAGGCAACTGTTCTAACTGATTAGATAATCCAGTCAAACCTCTAAAAAAAGTAAAGTACAATTACCTGATTCTTTTACTGAAACCTCGTAAGCAACTGCAACCGAAACACTCAACCCCAGACTGCTTGCTATTTCTATAACATTTTGCTGAGCCCCAGGGGGATCCACTACCCAGGAAAGAAATGGAGAGATATAGATAAGTAATTAACCAACAACCATCAGACCAAACCACCATTCGAAATTAAGCATAATAAAAATTTGAAACTTATTCAGAATTTGATATCTTACTTGCACCCATGTTGGTAATTATGCAAATATTTCTTTTCACAGCCAAAGGAAGAAGCAATTTCATCCAATCTGCAACTACAGAGTAATTCAAATAGTAGTCAAGAACAAAACACTGAACAGCCCGCAAAACTGACTTAACGTCAAAGGTACTAATGGAGAAGAATTTTAAGAAAACGTAAACGGAGATTGAGTTCAATAAATGATCATGAAGAAACCTCATGGGTAAAATTCTCGTATATTTCAATTTATTACTTCTCTTTTGCTCGACCCATTATAGTTTGCAGAATCTGTTAATGATAATTTTCAGAGTAATTAGCTTAAAAAACAACAAAACTCAGCCAGTATTATACAAGACCAACTAACTTCTTGGTAACTGGTTTATATCATCAGATCCAGCAATTAAATGAGATGAGAGTATGTCTTAAAATCAGTGTATGAAATGCCATCACCGTTTGCATCATTTCAAAATACTTTGATTCAGAGCAATCTTTGAACTGGATACCAGGGCAAAATGAGGTGTCAGGTTGCAATCTGGACGTTGCATGGACTAACAATATTGTTGTGCAAAAGAGAACAATTTTCTACAAAAGTCACTGTTTGCTAATGTAATAGATAGATATGAGCTTCAATATTTTAAGTAATACTAATATACTACCAACGAATCTAAGGAACCATTTACCAGCTTCTTAACAAAAAACTACCATCCTAACAATATTAGGAACTTTCAAGAAATTTTGAATATGAGAAAGGAATGATGAAAAAAATTGTAAGCCAAAAATGATTATTAACCATCGACATACTCCTTGAATCATATCCATCGCCACCAGACGACATAGCTTGATGCCGATCAGCAAGAGTGCGTTCTGCTAGGCATTCAAGCACGAGATAGTTTAGGTCTTTAACCCTCTGAAGCAATTTAAGAGCTGCAGTTGGCCTATCTCCTCCAAATCCAGCTCCACAACCAATGTACACCTTGTCTCTCCGTTTTTTAGGATTTACTCTCTGTCATTGAACACCAATACCTTAGATCTAACAATTCTTTCATTGACTTGTTTACAAAAATTAAATAAGAAATTAAGAACGGAAATAAGAAAGAACCAGCTTAATTGTGCAGTCATGGACGTCATCTTCACCCTGCCTCTCCATTAGCATCTGGTAACACAAGATGAAAGTGATTCTTAATTTCTTTCTAGGTGAAGACTTATGAGATACGTGAGATAAGTAGTCTGAAGAAGTCAAAGGAGATTCTAAAGTCATTCTCTAATGGGACAAAATTAAAGAAGCAAGCAGGTAATAAATCTTTAAAAAGACATTTCAACTTGAAGCCTTAAGAATAATTAACACGTCCCAATATACTAAACATCAAGGAGATTCTTCACAGTCACTCCTTCCAAATTGCTTAAAATAGACTAAGAGAGTTTAAGGTCCTCCATGTAGCTTTTGCACATACGACACCAATTTGGATAAGGACCACCCCCGGTTCATTTCTTGTATAAACTCACAAGTATTCAATGCCTAAACAGCGGCTTGCATAGGTTTGGTTTGTCAAAAGATTATATAAAATAATAATATTTATTTTAAAAAAATTCTTGCATTTTAAGCAGCCATGCCATTTTGTCATTCTCTCGACTTAAATAACAGTCTCTGGCATCTTGTCCGTTTTTTCTTTCATGAAGACTTATCCTCAAGTGCCAACTTGAACATAACTCAACTAATCAAGACATTAAATATCAACGAATCAAAAGTTCGAACCCCCATACTTACATATTGTTGAGTTTGAACTCAAAAGATTTATCCTCAAATTAAAATACCATATTCCGGCGATTTTCTATAGTTAACCGTTGATTGTTCTGTTAGGAACCGTGAACTTCCACAATGGTATGATATCGTATGATATCGTCCACTTTGAACACAAGCTCTTATGGCTTTGCTTCTGGTTTCCCCAAAAGGTTTCATTCCAATGGAGATAGTGTTCCTTACTTATGAACTCATGATTTTCCTCTTAATTAGCTAAGGTGGGACTATTCCTCTCAATAATCCTCAACATTCCTCCCCTCGAACAAAGTACACCATAAAGCCTCCCCTGAGGCCTCTTTCTCTGGAGCTCTCGAACAACTTCCCCTTAATCAATGCTCAACTCCTTCTCTTGAGCCCTCGAACAAAATACACCCTTTGTTCGACACATGAGTCACATTTGACTACACATTCAAGGCTCACATCTTCTTTGTTCAACCTTTGAGAATTCTATTAGCATGACTAAGTTAAGAGCATGAATCCGACACCATGTTAGGAACCACAACCCTCCACAATGGTATGATATTGTCCACTTTGAGACAGGCTCTCATAGTTTTACTTTTGGTTTCTCCAAAAGGCCTCATTCCAATGGAGATAGTGTTCCTTACTTATAAACTCATGATCTTCCTCTTAATTAGTCAATGTGAAACTATTCCTCTCAATAATCCTCAACATGTTCATAATAAGAAAAACCCTTGGAAAGAGCTTACTGAGAAAGAGTCTATTAAACCAATCATCTCCAAGTATCCAATTGTGCTACCAATCCCAACTAAAGAATAGAGTTTTCTACAACCAGATTTCATTTGGAAATCGCCACCAAGTGGCTCCTTAAGGTATGACAAGAGATTTGCATGCACATAAAAGAAGTATCCAACCAAACACAGAAGAAACACACAGAAAAAGAAAGAAGTAGAAACTCCAAAGCGCACAGGCCTGAAATCCCAGTAAACAAATCCAAGAAAAATAATCCACCAAACAACACAAACCGCAATTAACCCATCAAATGACTTAACACCAGAAATCACAACCAACATAACAATCAGCTAAACGAGATGAAAAGGCCTTTAAATAACTTCGAAGTTGCAGACCCCTAAGTCACAGGTACACAGCACCATGATCAATGTTCAAACCAAAATTAAGATTGTGAAGCTAAGCTAACGGCGCATGGTTTAAAAATCAAGACCATACACCAAAATACATGCGCGCATAAAAATCAAGAAGTGCAGCAACAAGATGAAACATGAACCGCGTACCGATCAAATCCTGCCTTCGGGAAGAATGATTTGCCGCGAATGAGAATTTAATCGCGCAGTACCCCTTCACTTTGAATGGAAGATGATTAATTTTGGCTAAATGTCGCTTTCTAAAATCAGACAAGTCAAAATAGCCTGAATACTTAATTTTGTCAAAATAGCCTTCTTGTTTCCAAAAATGCCCTTCACTATTTTTCTCATCATAAGCAAAATTAGAGAGATTCCTACCTAAAAATGTAATGTTCTTTCAATTTGATCCCAATTTTTTAAAATATTTTTTCTAAATTTTTTATTTTTTTTGGAATTTTAAAGATTTTTGTCTTAAAATTTTCAAAATATTTATCCGAACATTTTTCTCCATCAAATGTGGCCGTTAAATAACAAAATTTTAACCTTGAAAGGTGTCCTCTCATCTGCATAATGGGTCACTGACGATTGGAAGGTCGAAAAAAAAAATCATGGAATTAAAAGGGACACGAGAGAGCTGCTTATTTCCAAATCAGGGCCAATTGAAAATTAATTTTATGTTTTTAAGACGGAATAGTCAAATTTCTCGGTGAGATTTTTAGGTCGGATCACTCAAATCATATCAGTGGAGTAAATTTTTTCCTATTTTATGTTGTTTTATCTCGAGTATTGTAATTTTTTTTCTTTGGCACGTACTAATTCTCGTAACAAATGACATAAGGACGACAAATTTTTTAATTAAATTTATATATAAATAACTCGTATAGCCCTTAAATTTGTTCTTACGGTCTCTCGGTCGAAAGTTTCAAAACCAAAATATAACAAATTTTGGTACAAAAAACGAATATCTCGAAGGTTGAAAGACGAACGGAAAGAACAAATGCAAAAGTTTAGAGACCTAAACGAGATTTAAACGAACGAATTATACTTTGCGAGTAAATGATGGCAATTACCCTAAATGAAAAAGGGTATTTATCAAACATTAGATTAGGGCTATTTTTCAAAACCAGAGTTACTTTGACAAATTCCATTTGTTAAAAGACCATTTAAACCATTAACCCCGCAGAACTCCCAAGGACTGATCGCAGGTCGCCAAGGTTTTTCTACTGCCTCCCGGCAGCTGCTCAGTGTACGCAGCCATGGTGACGTCGCCGGTGGTGAACACCTATCCACTTTCCAGCTACACCTTCGGTACTAAAGAGCCGAAGCTCGAGAAGGACACCTCCGTCGCCGATCGTCTTGCTCGCATGAAAGTCAAGTACTGCAAATTTACTCCATTTCTTAAACCCTAACTTTATGGTTTTTTCAACGTTTTAGAGTTGTATTTTCTCGAAAGTTAGGAACTATGGCCGTTTCTTAGTGTGGATTCCTGGTCATTTTACATTTTATGTGTTTAGCTTTACTAGAAACCATTTAATGTGTTTCTAATTTCAAGAAATGCGCGAGCTTGGACTAAAGTTCTGGATGAAATTGTGTTATTGATTTTATTCAAGCCATTTGTTCGTTGATAAACTCAGTGCTTTCTTATTGCTATTTGTTTCGTTGTTTCGTCATCGCCTGGAAATTTTGTCTTCCATTTATTGGTTTTGGAGGGGCTTTGACGGGAATGAGTAACTTGTCCTGGTTCTTGGTTCACAGCTATATGAAGGAGGGCATGAGGACGAGTGTTGAAGCAATTCTTCTGGTCAGTGCGCATCTTCATCATTTTTCATCTCAATGTACTCATTTCCTTATTATTATTATCTTTCTAAAAAATTTGAAGTTTAAAGAGATCATCAAGATATAGGTGTACTAGTTGGATGCCATGGTTTGTGTTTTTCAGTTGATATTGAAATTCATTGAACTGTGAATCACTGAAATGTTTTATAACGAATTATAATATTTAAAAGGTACAAAAATATTTATCGTCTTGCATATCTACATCCTTCATCTAGAATATTTGAGTATATGTAGGCTATTAGAAGGAAAGTTTCATTGCCGAATCCTTTATTGTCCTATCTGATCTTTACCCGAGCAGCACGCGTTGGAAGACAAGATGACTAAATTTGAACTTCCATCATGTCATCTTTTAGATTATACCCGCCTATGGTTTCCTCCAGCTAGTAAATTTAACATGAGGTCTCCCCACCTATGACTGCTTCCAACTGTAAATTTTTCCCGTAATCCTTCGAAGCCCATGTACATTTTGATGCTCAACAAACATGTTGTTTCTTATATGTATGTACTGAATACATTTAATGTGTAATATATTAATTAATCTGTTTTTGGTTGCATAGCTGAAGTAGATATTTTAGTACCTCTGTAACTGACATTTATGTATTTTGCAAAAAAGCTCCAAAATATTCAAAATATTTTAGGATTTAAGCCAAGGAAAGTTGGATTTGAAATACAGAATGTGCCCAAAATGTAAAAACAGGTTCACTGAAGTTGATGCTTTAGGAATTTCCTACCAGACAATAACAATTTATTTACGACATTTGTGGATGAGATGAAAGTTCAACTGCATGTACTTGGGAGAGCCAGTAGGATTTCGATTTATCGCATTGTGCTTCCCAACCTACCTATAGTCTAAGTAGCATTCTACTAGTAAGATGGTGACTATAACTGATTTCATTTTGTTAAGATGGCCAGCTCGAGGACCAACGAGGATCTTGGCTCTTTATTCTAGAGGTGAAGGAATCGACTTTCTCCTTAATGGTCTTGATTAAGGTCCCATTTAGGAAATTAGGGAGGCAATAATACTGCAACCAGGAGAGGTAATAATACTGCTGGAAGTCTCAGACGTATATCTCCAAGTTCATTTAGGAAATTAATAATTACTGTGCTGAAAATAGGAAGGGAATCCTATAAAGTCTTGGAAGATCTTTAGCCACAAAAAGGAGGATGGTTACTTGCTTCCACGAATTTGGGTAAAAAAGATCAACATATTTGTTGAAATGCGAGGGTTTCTAGAAGCTTGATTTTTAGAGAAACCTGTTGGATGTTGAAATACAGGGGCAGCCTAATGTTTCAAATTTTGATAAGAAAAAGAGCATGAAACCAACGGGAGACCAAAAACAGGTGGATAAGCAGTCCAACCCCGAAGCTAAAGGGGTTTACAGAATAGGACCTCAATTATACAAGGCATACTATAATTACAAAAAGCAACGTGCGAATTGAAACAAATACTTTATTGAGTTCTTTTTACGTTGCTTTTTGTTTTACTCCTTTATGGAGTTTGATCATTTGAGCAATAGTATATTTTCATTACATCAATGAAACGTTTTGTTTCTTGTTCAAAAAATTACAAAAACATTGTTTTTTGGGCACACAAAGAGGAAGCTGATTGGAATGCAGGATCCTTGCACCCCTTAGATTTGTTTCTGAAGATTCTATAGTTTTTCTCGGCTTATGATTCAAACAACAGCTTTGATAGAATTAAACAAGGGAGTTCTAGTTTTCTGCCATTTTAAGTTTGGCACTGAATGTTTCCTTAATTCATTAACTTTCTCTTTAGTTGGTGTATTTTAGTGACTAATATTTAAGAGAACCATGTACTTTACTGTGATGGAATTTTATATTTTTCGTTTTTTCTTTTTACTTCCACAGGTGCAAGAACATAAGCATCCCCATATTCTACTTCTGCAAATTGGAAATACCTTTTGCAAGCTCCCTGGTGGCCGGTTGAAGCCAGGAGAAAATGGTAAGATTTTATATACATTTGAAGCCCCCCTGCATCCCATTGAGTAAAAAATATCTCTCTCATGTTTTATCTTAATATCCACAGAAATTGAAGGTTTAAAGAGGAAACTGACGAGCAAACTGGGTGCAAATTCACCAGCCCTCCAGCCTGATTGGCAGGTTTGGGTCATCTCTTGCTGTGTGCATGTTTCTACCCAAAGTTATATTATTCATTGCACATTTTCTGCAGATTGGGGAATGTGTGGCTATTTGGTGGAGACCAAACTTTGAAACTGTTATGTATCCTTATTGCCCCCCTCATATAACGAAACCAAAGGTATGATCTCTCTCTCTCATGTTCCCCAGCCCCCAGCAGTGCTGATAGCACTTTTTTGGTGGTGACTTTGATAGGGAAGAATGTAGGCTATCAGTTATCTATCTATATGCATGTATGTATGTGTCTGTGTATACTATGCAGATTATTTATTACTCAAGCTGATTGGATAGCCTCTTTACCCTAGGGAAGGCCCTTGTAACAGCCCAAGCCCACCGTTAGCAAATATTGTCCTCTTTGGGTTTTTTCTTTCGAGTTTTTATAACGTGTCTGCTAGGGAGAGGTTTCCACACCCTTATAAAAAATGTTTTGTTCCCCTCTCCAACTAATGTGGGATCTCACAATCCACCCCCTTTGAGGCCCAGTGTCCTCGCTGGCACTCGTTCCTCTCTCCATTAAATGTGCGATCTCACAATTCACCCCCTTCGAGGCTCACACAAACGTTCATCTCTCAAATTGATGTGGGATCTCACAATCCACCCCCTTCAGGGTCTAGCGTCCTCGTTGACACACAGCCCGATGTCCACCCCCCTTCGCGGCTCAGCGTCCTTGCTAGCATACCGCCCAGTGTTTGGCTTTAATACCATTTATAACAACTCAAGCCCACCACTAACAAATTTATAACGAGTCTCCTATGGAGAGGTTTCCACACTCTTATAAAGAATGTTTCGTTCCCCTTTCCAACCAATATGGGATCTCACAATGGTCCACTGTTTTCTTACTTTGATTGGCATTATAAAGAGAGTTGAAATTATTTTTAGGAAGCTTATTTTTCCACAAAAAAAAAAAATCCTAATTAGGGTTTTTGATGATCCAGGAATGCAAAAAGCTTTTCATTGTTCACTTGTCTGAGAGAGAGTACTTCGCAGTTCCTAAAAATTTGAAGCTGCTTGCAGTTCCTTTGTTTGAACTCTATGACAATGTTCAGGTAAGTTGCATTTTTCTCTGTAGATCCTCATAAGTAGGAAAAAAAAAGTTTATTATCATGCATATTCTTAAGCGATTTTTGGCATGTCGGGCAATATCGAAAACCTGCTTAATTATAAGCAATTAGTATGTGGTGGTGGTGGTTATCTAGGGATAGATGAATTAAGATAGATTTTCTGGATGCTGGATGATACTGATAGAGTACATGTAAATCCATTTGTCTCAAAATACCATGCATTTTATTAGCTAAACACTAGTTTTCGGATATCGCACTTGATCACAGAGATACGGACCTGTTATATCGACGATCCCGCAGCAGCTTTCCAGGTTTCAGTTCAACATGATCACCACATGAGCTTGCAAGACAAGAACTTAAAATTTGTGGCATGAACAGACTCCAAATTTGCAGCTGTGAGATATTCCTGTTAGCTTAGTTAGAACTTAAGGGGACATCATGAAACCTTTCTTGAGTTAGGATAGCATACTTATTATAGACTTTTTGTTCTCGACGTTTTCGTCGAAGTGTTTATGAGCCAGAACCCGAAAAAATTTATATTACTTCTAACAATAGCAGAAAAATGAAAACCGACTGACGGTTTGTGTAACGATTTAACTTGATGAAAATCTTAGATGGGTGTAATGTATGTTGAATCAATTGTAACAGTGGTTAAATTGTGGAAACAAAGAATGTTGAATCAATAGTAACAGTGGTTAAATTGTGGAAACAAAGATTTTCTGGCCTTGGCTCTCTGTTTCTCAATTGAGTCAACTGTTTCTTGGGCTCTGTTCACTCGTCTATGTTTTAATAAGAATGAATCTTTCGTTGTGTAAGGTTGGCCCGGAGAGAGAGTGGGTGTGACTCCCTCTCTACCCATTCAAATCATTTCTCGCCTCAACCCCCTTATAAAGAGGGCATGAAGAGGTCGCCAATAGTACCTGCTACTCCTATTTTCTCGACCAAAAATGGAAAACGTAGGGCATGAAGAGGTCGCCATTAGTACCTGTCACTCCTACTTTCTCTTGACTAGAAACGAAAAACGTAAAGAGATTTAGTAGGTGATTCAAGCCTTACATGAATTATATATTGAATGATTTTCAAATTGAAGGCATGAATGTCTATTTTTTGATCAATCTCTATGTTTTGATAAACTAATAACAAACTTATCGATTATGGATTTAAAAAGAAGTTAATTTTTTAAAACAAAAAGTGTAAGAAATTTTAATTTATGGTTTGAGCATGTGAGTTTTTTTTTTTTTTTTTCCTCGTTTGTTTATGGGAACGAGGAAACCTTTCGAAGACCACAGGAAAGCTGAAACTTCCACATCCAAATTAACCGATAACGACATTCTTAATTTGTGCATATGAGTCATACGTGTAAAATTCAATGAAACAGAAACATTACAATAACTAGCACAATGAATTGCAACAAAGTATGTAGACAAATTGATCAAATTAAAAGTTTATGATACAATCGTAAAAATCTCATAGTTTAAGTGTGGTTTTTAAAATTTTTCAAAAAAAAAAATAATAATTTACTATTAGTCGTGTTAGTGTCATTTAAAAGCGATGTAAATGTATAAGAATTAAAGAATTGTAAACTATATAAATTTTCTANACGAATTCGTCATAATTCAAAGTGACCCCACTAACTCTCAAAAACTACACAAAAACCCCAATTTCTTTGTATACCGACCAAATACTAAAAGGTTTCTCTCCACCCACCAAACTTGTTATAATTCTAAAATGGTCCACTAACTCTTACAAATTGCACAAAAAACCCCATTTCTTGTACACCGACCAAAAACTAAAAAAAATTTATCGACCCATTATACTCGTCGTAGCTCCAAAATGACCCACTAACTCTCAAAACTTACACAAAAGCCCCAATCTCTTGTACATCGACCAATTACTAAAAAGTTTCTCTCGACGCACCAAACTTGTCATAATCCCAAAATGGCCCACTAACTCTTACAAATTGCACAAAAACCCCCATTTGTTGTAACCGACCAAAAAATAAAAAAAATTTCTCGACCCACTGAACTCGTCATAATTCTAAAATGACCTACTAACTCGAAAAAAGTGCACAAAAACCCCGATTTCTTGTATACCAACCAAAAATTAAAAAATTTCTTTCATCCCATCCAACTCTTCGTAGCTCCAAAATGACCCATTAACTCTCACAAATTGCACAAAAGTCCCCAATTTCTTGTGGTTTAAAAGGAAAAAAAAAGCGAGACACGACAGGCGGAATGTGGATTATGAATCCAGGTGGACCCCATTTTAGGGGTAAAGTAATCCACATTTGTGATGACCTGTTCATCTTTGACAATTATCCATAAAAGTGATCACCAAAAGCCTCTTTAATAGCGCGTGAGGTACACGTACCAATAACTGTTCACCACCAACTCACCGTCGCGCTTGAAATCACGCGCTTTCATTCCCTCACATGGCGTTTTTTTTCACATGGCTTCAGCCATAACCGAAAAGCACAGAAATGCATTTTCACCGCCAGTTTCAGTCTAAAAGAAAATAGCATTTGTTTCTCTCTGAGCTTCTTGCAGATTCTCGAGTAAAATCCAA